CGTATAAGACGACCCCCCCACTTGGAGGCATGTTTTTCAGGGCAAAAAAGTCGTCTTATACGCCGGCAAATACGGTATATTATGTCCACAGTATTTTGCTGGTCTACTTATTTAGTCACTTTGTTGAAGAATGAAATAAGATTGGTTTGGCATGATCTGTTCTTCACAAACCTGTGCTGACTGCTAGTTATTACTTTGTTTCTAGATGTTGGCAGATCTTTTTTTTCATTATCTTTTCCAGTATCTTCCCTGGTATTGATGTTAGGCTGATTGGTCTATAGTTTCCTGGGTCTGTTTTTTTTTTCTTTTTTTGAAGATGGGAACCACATCAGCTCTTTTCCAGTCCTCTGGTAGTTCCCCGGTGCTCCAGGATTTTTGAAAGATATGGTGCAGTGGTTCTGAGATGACCTCTGCCAGCTCCTTTAAAAGTCTGGGATGTAATCCATCAAGTCCCGGTGATTTGTTTTCATCAAGATCAGACAGGTGTTCTCTTACTATTTTTTTGCTTATTTTAACTTTTATTTCTGGTCTGTCTTTTACAGTTACATTTTTGGTGGGTTGAGCTATAGTTTCTTTTTGCGTGAAGACGGATGCAAAGAATGAGTTAAGCAGTTCTGCTTTCTCTCGGTTGCCTGTTACTTCCTTGCTGTCTTCTCTCTTAGTGGACCGACTGTTTCCTTGATTTTGTTCTTGTTATTTATATGTTGGAAGAAACTTTTTTTTTAATTATCTTTGACTTTTGTTGCAAGTCTTTGTTCGTTCTGAGCCTTTGCTATCTTGACTTCGTCTTTGCAGATTCTGGCTATCTGCTGATATAGTCGTATGTCCTTCTTTCCATTTTTTATACTTGTCCTTTTTTTCTTTCAATTTTTTTTATCATTTTGTAACTACTGTGTAATAAAAGAAAATATTGGTATACATCTAGCTGATTATCTCAGTGCCCTATTTCAAGAAAGAAAAAAATAGTCCCCAGTGTTGAAAAAATCATATTTTGTTTGCAGTGGTGGTTTTAATATATTAAGGTTTCTTTTTTAATGGCCCATTACAACGTCACAAAATAAGCTTGGCCTCCATAGGGAAATCCCATTTGCATTCATCATCACCAAATGTAGTTTAAGACCTGATTGAAGGTCTGACATATTTTGCTGCTTTGAATTTAATTATCCTTCCTTCTCTTGCCTTTTGGATTTAATCATTGCTGGCAAGCAGTGTGTCCCTATTTTCCATTCATGCTGTTATTTCCTTTTCCCCCACTTTGAGGTGATGTTTACTGCCTGTGAGTTGGGTGTGTTTGATCTGTTGCAAGAATCAGAAGAAAAGTTGTCATCCAAAGCCATCGCAGAACATCTGGGAAGCAGCCTCCATGGAATGGAGACACTGCTGGATGCCTGTGTGGGTTTGAAGCTCCTGGAAGTAGAAGTGAACAAAGAAGGAGGTAACAGGGCTAGGCTGAAAATATTCTAGATAATAAGTGCAAACTATCACCATTCAATAATTCAATGGGTTCCAAAGTCTGCAGCGGGGAATCTTAGATGCCCTATAAAAAGCCATTCAACCTGTTATGACAACAACATGCAAGAGTAATCCACTGGACTCCCAAGGTGGTGTTCATGAGAATATTCATAGGAAAAGAAAGTCATTTATGGAAAGGAGGCAGCCTTCAAGAACACAATGTGTGCTGGGGCAAGGCATCTCCACATTCTCTAGCTTTCTCCTGAGAAAACTGTTTGTGATGGTGCATTTGGCCATTTGTTTAGCAATTGCTTGTTCAGTAAGTAATTCGCCTTCACTCGTGTTCCAGTAACCATTCAGATTTACAATGGTGCTGAACAAGTGGCCCTTGTACAAACAGCCATCACAGTTTCCCTGTGGTCACATGATCATGATGCAGGCAGTGTGTGCCTGGCTCATGATTATGACATTGCAGCAAGCTATGGTCACATTATGCAAAGGCAATGGGTAAGCCAACAGGAAGTTGCAATTATGAGGTCCTCGCTTAGCAATGATAACTGGGGCTGCTGGAAGTGCCATCACTAAGTGGTATATACACGGTCACATGTTTTTTTCAACTTATAACTGCATTGCTTAACAATGGGATTTCTGTTTCCAATTAATATAGATAAATGAGGATTACATATATGTAGAGAGTCACTAATTGCTGAATTTCTCCCATGCCTAGAGAATATAAGTGAGTAAATATCTAGATCTATAAAGAAGAGAGATGAAATTTAAACTATTTCTCTTAATGTTTAATAAAAGCAAAAATCAGGGTTTCTTAAATATCAAATTACTGTTTAGTTTGAAAAAAAAACCACTTGTGGCACACTAAATTGAGATGACATAGTCTTTCTGCTGAGAAATGTGAAAAGTCTATTTTGCTTCTTTTTAGTGTTCCTTTGGGTCCTGTTCTGTCATGCACCTTCCAGCAGTTTTAGAGATCCATATGCAATTCATAACTGCCTATAATTTCCCCTTGCCATATATAATTATACAATCAAAATGATCAAGCAAGAAAACCTTAATCAAGGCCATCATAAATATAGCCACTTAATGAGTATATCAAGCAGATGTTTCTTTATTTGATCCAAAGCAGACCCTGTTGAGAGAATGCAATAAACATTCGTTCTGAAACAGAATTGTGTGATGACATGGCTCTTGCTGTTAAGATGGATATTTTTGCCTGTGTTATTCCAGTTCCATAATTTTCTTTTTAGCTTTTTATTGCAACACAGAAATCTCTGAACAGTTTCTCACCAAATCAAGTCCAAAGTCTCAGTATCATACCTGCATGTATTACTCCAAAACAATTTATCTTTGCTGGCAGTACCTGACAGAAGCTGTAAGGTGAGATGAACAATATGAAATCTTATGCAGTCAAAACTCCATGAAAAAAAACCCAGATCCTACCCATTTGTATGACTATTCTCTTCAGAAAAAAATAATTCGAATAAATGTGGTTACTGTTGTTTCTAAAGGAGGAAGCACTGTAGTATTCATTGTTAACACAGGACTGCTATCCCAAAGGTGCTTTTTCAAATGGCAATTGGATTTTGTTTTCCTTGAAGACATTTCACTTCTCATCCAAGAAGCTTCTTCAAGGAAAAAAACCCCTCCAGTTTCCTTCTGAAAAACAAACAACTTTGTTACAACCATGACCTGGATGACTGAGAATCTCCATAGGCAGAAGTGCTATATAGAATTATTATAGGCTACTTCTTTCTGTTCAATACCATACATGCAAGGTGGGAGAACCAGCATATTCTTAACAGTTTAGAAGACAAGCTTAATGATGGTGCATAGGAAACCCCTGTTAAGATCACTGGTCTTAATAACATAGTTTGCAGAGAAAATCTTAAGACAATTGACGATGAGGGTCTGGCACATAAGCATATGTTGTTAATGTTGAAGGAAAACAAATAAGATCAATTTTTTTTAGTTAGTGAGAAATGAATGGCTTTATTGACATCAGTGCCTTTGTTTGGTTTTTTGTTTTAACAGAAAAGAGATAAAGATTATTTTGAAGGATATAATTTTAATATGGAGAGGAGGGAAAGAGAGAGAGAAATAATAGGAAAGCATAGAAAGAAATCTTCCACTATCTATACAATTTTTTAAAATCAAAACTAAAATCACAATCTCTTTTATGAAATACAACAAGAGAATGTTTGCTTTATTTTAGTTTTATATAGAATTTGCATTTCTTTTTAAAAAGGTACAGAATACCATGGCTTGAACACTCTTGAGCTACAGTGCATGTAGTAGTATGTGTGTGTGTGTGTGTGTGTGTGTGTGTGTATGTATGTGTATATGAAAAGATGGACAATTTCTGAAATATGGTTGGCTTGATAATGTATTTTTGCACCTGCAAATGTTGTCACCCTAGAGCCAGAGAGAGTAATAGCTTGCAGAAACAGCACAGATGCAAACTTCAGATTTCATCACTGTAAAGTTCAGTGCCTGGCCACAAATTGCTTATCTAACACTCCTATATATTTGAGCTTAGATGGAAGTAAATGTAATGCACACAATTCATAACTTGAGTTATTTGAAGGCCAAAGGTACATTTGTATGATTGTAGGATTTTTTAAAGTTAAGCTCTTCCTTAAAATATCTTGCTTGCTTATAATTCCATCTGTATATGACATGGCTTGTTCCCATATGTGTTTGTTTGGGACTATACACTTGGGTTTTAATTAACTGTGGGACAGTGAAACATATTATGTGCAATATTAGAAGGATTTTAAAAAATCCTCTACATGTTTCTTATACAAGTTTCTTACACAAGTAGAGCAGCAGTGTTAGTTTCTATTCATTATTAATATTTGTCTGAATTTGATCCAGTGATGCACAGAATTGTGTCCACATACTATATGCACTGCAGAAAGCAACTTGAGCAACTGTTGATGGAGTAGAATAAAAATTAAGATTGTGCCTGTTTTCCCCATTACTCCTGAACAGATGACTGACAGAGGTAGCTCTTACTCTTGAATCCCAGAGAAATACTCCTCATCAGTACCTTTTTCAGTGAGTGATGGGATAATTCCCTTTGGCTTAATTAAGAATAAACTTGGCAGTTGCCAACATTATTTTTCAGCAGTCATGTGTAAAAGGCACCTGTTTTTCTAAGAGCTTTCTTCTGCCTTAAACAAAAAAAAAAAAAAAATAGCACAACTTATGGTCCTGTGCATAGGAGACTCACCTTATTTTCGCTTGGGAACAATATTTCCCAGCAATATCTAAATCAGGTTATTCAACCAGTTTGAGATTTCAGAATGAATACATGTTTGCATCTCTGCCTGGAGGAGCAGGGAAGGAAAATCTATTTGTGTCCAAAATGCAACATGCTTCCAGAGAACCATATGAGGGTCCATATAAACAACATATAAAACCTTAACTCAGAAGAAGCAGAGATATCCCACTGCAAGTATGTGGTCCCCGATGTACTTCCCATACTGACATACATCAGTGATTGTCAAATCATGTGACCCCGCAAATTGCTATGTGTAATAATGGAAAACCCTCCACATACACTTGCCTACAATCCATTATCTTCAAGCAATGGTATGATCTATAAGAGCCCTATTTCAAAAATTCCTGGCACAGCACAGAGTTTTTTCCTGAAGGTCAATAGAACTACATAATTTTAACTGACTCTTGAAAAGCTGCCAGACATCCAAAGATGTTGTTTTTCTCCCAAAGGGAAGGCAAGAATCAGTACGAGAGAGCGTTTGGCATTTCACCGAAAGCTGTTTTTGAAGCTCTGTACAGGTAAAGCTCCAAACAATAATGTTAAAAGGAAAACTGCAGGTACTGTCTATGATAAAATGTTTTTTAAATCCCCTTGTTAATTTTATAGTCCCTTGTATTGTTTATTTCTTGTTTACTCAAATGCTATACTTTTTATAGAAAATAAGGCTGTTAAGATCCGTTAAAATATCAGATATGCAACATAATAATCAAATTAGTTTATAGTGTGTTTTTATAGTTTTTAGGAACCAAATATTCATAACTATATTGTCTTTTTAAGAAAAATCCTGCATTTGAGGAAAATCTAGCTCATTCATTGGTATTAAAGATTGGAATAATCAATTCATATGAATTCTTCCACTTGAAAAAGGACATGCAGAAGACTCAACAAATCTATCTGATGGTTAATCTGAGATGTTTCTCCATTGAGTATTGAAGCATATCCAAGAGTTTAATTAGAACGACAGTATTAAAATAATAAATTTATGCATATTATAATAGTTGTTCTTGTGGCTCTGTTCCATGACACTAATGCTTTTATGATCTTTACTATCTAGATCAGAAGAAGAAATGCTGAAATTCATGTATGGATTGAATGCAATTTGGAGCCTATGTGGCAGAGATGTTATAGCTGCATTTGATCTCTCCCCATTCACTATGATTTGTGATCTTGGTGGTAAATTCCTTTCCATCCTGATTAAAAATACAGACCATAAAATATTTAGCCCTTTGCTTTTTTTTTTTTTTTTTTTTGGGGGGGGGGGGGAGGAACAGCTTTATCTCTTAGGTGTATAATAGGCTTAATAAAAGTAGTAAAATGTGGATGCTGACTTTACAGCTTGTCTGAGTTGCAAGCAATGAAATATTCAACATAAACTCAGTCTTTCTGATACAACTTTCTCCTCTAAAATAGCAAATTAGTATCTTGTTATGTTCTGTTTTGTGGAACACCATCTTTTCACAGGTAGACAGAGTACAACATTAACAAATTTAAAACAATAAAAACAACTGCAATTCTCTCTAAAATATAAAAACACACACAATTACACATAAAATCTTCATACTGAAATAATACTTCAAATCATGTACAATTTAGTGCTCTTCTGCTGATAGTTGTTGCATCCAAGGTCAAAAATAACTATTTGAGACAAATATTTGCTATGTATGGTTGAAAATATCTTTTATTTTATTTTCTTTCAAAAGGAGGTGCTGGGGCTTTGGCCCAGGAATGTGTTTCACTATATCCAGATTGCACAGTCACTATTTTTGATCTTCCTAAAGTAATTCAAACAGCCAAGAAGCATTTTGTGCCTCTAGAAAAACATCGGATCAATTTTTGTGAAGGTTGGTGTAGTTATTTTGGAGAAAGAGGAAAGGCATTTCTTACGAAATACTTTCTTCTCTATAGAATAAGGTTAGGAGCATTGCTTTCTGAGTCAGAGATCAGAGCCCTAGGTGGAAATGACTGCCTCTTATTCCCTTGTGCCCCTAATACAGACAGGGTAATGAAGGAAACCTGAGAGCAGCTTATTTCCTTTCTAAGTTCAAAAAATGGACACCTAGTCCATTCTCTTTACTTCCAGGGAGTGCAAAGCATTTCCTTTCTCTGCAGAGAAACAACATGAGGTATTTCGTCAATGGAGTCAGGACACAAGGAAAAGCCTTTCCCTCAGTCACATAGATTGAATGTGACATATTATGATGGTGGGGGAATGACTTTGGGAGACAAAACTGTTGCTTAGGCAACAGGTCTTCCTCTTGTCTCCCAAAGTTATTACCACATATCATCACACATTCGGATTCAAGGTTCCTTGATGCTCTAGAAAAGTACTTTAAAAAGTGAACCTTTTACTTTCTTAGTCTCAATTTCATTTTAATTCAGTAAATGTATTTGAATTCACTGAACAATCTGAATACATAAATATTTAAAAATTACTATGATTCTTTCTGAATATTAAAATTTAGATAATGGGCATTCACTCCTAAAGTCAAATAGAGATAATTCAACCTTGAGAATCACAGAGGTTTTGCTTTAGCTTGACAATTCTTCCACAGAGAAAACTGTTATTTCAGATAAATAAGACAAATGTTCCAATTACTTACATTCTAGCTCATGTGTGTGTGTGTGTGTGTGTGTGTGTTTATAACATCCACATCTATCTATCTATCTATCTATCTATCTATCTATCTATCTATCTATCT